ACCGATCCTGCAGGATGGGGGTGTCTCAGATTTTCGCTTTACATCTCGAGTATCGGCAAGTGGTGCTCGCTTCCTCGCTGGAATCTGCCTGGGGGCTGGCTCTTAAGTTTTCGTCGTCATATTATCCCTTGCTGTTTGCAGAATCTGGGGTTGGGCAGTTTCTGCAAGCACCCTCTTCTAGTTGTCGTCCCATGTCGGGCTTGTTTGTCCTTCGGGGGTCCCGGGGTGGAGGGTTCCTCCCGGTAGGGTCGTGCCTGGGCTTGGGGTCTTCTCGCTGTGGTAGGCGGCTGGTGCCAGTTTCTGGGTCGGCGCTGCCTTTGGATCCATTTTCATCTGGTTGGCGCGGTGATCGCTCTATGCTTGCTCTGTGTATAAGTCAGGTTCTCATAAGGGGCGTCGGCCCTTTCGTGGTTCGCCACATTGACGGGGCAATGGAAGGGGAGATTCGTGCTATTCGCACATGCCTGGTCTAATGATTTGCAGGCTTTTCGGGTCGCTTCCGATGGCCTGCAGTGGCGTTGGGTGGCCCCCCCCCCCATCCTCCTTTGGGGGATTTAGGGCTCGTGGGGCAGGCCTCTTCTCCTGTGCTCTGTCGGGTCATCTCGGAGTGGGTATGCTTGGGCGTGGTCGAACCGACGACATCCCTCAAGTGGGTTTCCCGTCTGTTCCCAGTCCCGAAAAGGGACTATGCAGACCTGCGGTTCATTCTGGACTTGTCCCGTCTGAACCCCTGGAGTCTTTTGCCCCTCTTTTTGGATGACTACTCTGTCCCAGGTCTGGGCTTCTGTTGGAGCCTGGTGCTTGGTTGGCATTTTTGGACCTCCAGGATGCGTATTGGCACGTCCCGATTCATCCGGGGCTCAGAGATTGGCTCGGGTTTGTTGTGGGACGTCTCAGTTACTGCATTCGCTGTCTCCCGTTCGGGTTGAACCAGGCACCTCGCGTGTTCACACGCCTTACCCAGATCGTGGTGCCTGCCTGCGTCTTTTAGGTCTTCGGGTGCTAGCCTACCTCGACGACTAGCTGATCTGGGCTCCCAGCCAGTCCGCATGTCTGCTCTCCAGGGATTTGGTTCTTTCCCAGCTCACCGGGATTGGGTTCCTGGTGAACTGGCAGAAGTCCCATCTGGTTCCCTCTCAGGTTCAGACTTGGCTGGGTCTTGTGTGTAACTCTCGGCCCACTTCCCTGTCTCTTCATCCGGAGTCTCTGCTTCGGCTGCTCTCCCCCCTGTGCTTGTTTCTGGGAGGCTCCTGGGTCACTTGGCAGTTGCTCGAGGGTTTGTGCAGTAGCCTGAACTTTGCCGTAATAGTTTACCCGCCGGGTCAGGTTTGGCTTTGTCAGCTGTTCTGGTTCCTTCGATGCCTTCCTTTCCGCCGCTGGCCTGCGGGGGCGTTGCATTGGCAGCTGTGTCGCCGGCTTCCGCTTCGGGTTTTTCAAGGTTCAGTACCTTGGCGCCTACTTGAGCCCCGCTCGATATGTTCATGGGTCGTCTCATATAGTCGTCTTTTGGCTGGGACTTTGTGACCAATGCTCACCAAGCCGGCCAGGGGTGGTGGGATCTGTCCTTCCGTCAGGCTCACAGCACAGTGCGGGAGTTCGCTGCAGTGTGTATGTCGCTTCAGAGGGTTCAGGTCGCTCACGGAATGACGATCAGGCTCTGTTTGGACTGCTCCCCTGTAGTTCATTGCCTGAATGGAGGGGGGGATTCGATGTGGTCCTTGGCTCTTTGGGGCTGGTCACTTCAGGTGACTCGTCTGCTGAGTTCTTGGGGTTTGGCTCTCCTGGCCGTTCATGTCCAACGTCCTGGCTGATGGCCTGTCTCGGTTCATTCCCCTGTCCTCGGAATGGACGGTCGATGCCGACACACATGTTGGCTCTACCAAACTTACAGGCTGCCAGAGGTGGACCTCTTCGCGTTGGTCGAAGCGTCTCCCAGTATATGTGGCGCCCTTCCCTGCATGACTGCGAGGCTGTCTGGGTCCTGCTTTTCGGCAAGACTGGTCGAGGTGGGGTTACCTGCACCTCTTTCCCCCAGTTCAGCTGTTACTCCAGGTCCTAGCTCTCATCGAGATTTACCCGGGAAAAGTCTCCTTGGCTCCTTAGTGGCTGGCCCAGCCTTGGTTTCAGGTGCTGTTTGCTTGGTGTCCGAACCCAAGGGTTTTCCTGCGGCTCCGCCTCTTTCAGATGATCGGTTTCGTCCGGTCTGTTACAGTGGTGTTACATGGCTGGTTCGATCTTCTTCTTGAGTCTTCACGTCTGGTATTTTTGACTCAGGTCTGTCACCATCTGTATGGTGATCAGGTGACTTCGTTAATGGTGTCCCACCTGTGTGCTTAGTCTCGGCATCAGTATGAAGTTGTACTTCGCTTTCTGTTAAGGTGGTCTTGTACTTTCTCTTGTGGCTGTTTCAGGACCGTCATCTTATGTCGAATACTGTCGCCTCATATCATGCGACGCCGGCGGAACCGCTGCTGCTTGCTTTCGGCATCGATGTTACTTCTTTATCATTTTGCAAGTTGCCTTGGGCATTGTTTCACCTCCGGCCTACTCATGCACCACCTGAGCCGTCCTGGTCGTTGAACAGTGTTCTCTCTTTTCTCTCTCTTCCCCTCAGTTTGTTGTGGCCCCTTCGGTTCAGGATTGTCTCTCCAAGGCTCTTTTCCCTGTAGGCATTGGCCTCTGGGGAATCAAGTTGGGGAGCTTCAAGCTCTCCTCTGGCGCAGGGGTTTCTGTTCTTTTGGCTCTGGTGATAGGTTTGTTCGTTTGCAGCAGTCTCCTTCTTTTCTGGCAAAGAATGAGACTGCTGCTTTCTGGAGGGGTCCTTGGGTTGTGGATGCTTGGTTGGTTAGGCTGAGGGTGCATTGTGTGTTGTGTCCAGTTGCAGCTCTCCGCCGTTATGCGCCATGGCTTTTGTGTCTGGGGACATGCTTTGGGTTGATCCGGTTTCCCTTCTTCCTTGATCAAGGCTTCGGATCTCCCAGGTCGTCCACAGGGTTATTCGGACCAGCCAGCCTGCGGTCTATCCTTGTGCCCATGACATTCGTAAGTTTGCTGCTTTGGCTGCTGTCTTCGGTAACATGTCTTAGGCTGACATTCGGGCACAGGATTTTTGGAGGTCAAACAGGGTCCTGGCCGCTCGCTACCTAGTCAATGTTCCTGGTCCTAGCCAGGCATGTGTCACATTAGGTCAGCGGTTGCAGCCAGCTGTCTCGACTTCAAGTTGAGGAGCGAGTGGCGTTCTCCTGCCGGGTAAGTCCCTCTTGTTTTGTCTTTGGTTAAGTTGCTCCAGGGAGCAGAAGGGGGTTACCCCCTAGAAAACCAGTGATGAATGTAATGAAACAACATTTTCTGGGTGAGACCCGGAGGCTCCCTGGCAACCCTCCCTTCCTCTGGTCGGCGGTTTTCCGCAAGTTTTGACATCCAGCCTCAGATCTGATGGTGAGGATAGCTGACAAAGGGAGTCTGAGGCTTCCCCTTCCCCCTCCCGGGGAAGGGGAAGCTGTGCAGACAGCGGCGCAGTGACAGTTATGTCATGATCATTTGCTTGTTTTTCGTTTGGGGGAGTTCTGTCCAACAGTTCGGCTTTCAGTAGCAATATTTTAACCAGATAGGGTTTGTTTTGGGGTGCCTACCTTTCTGGGTGCCTGACCCAGTCGATGGCAGACATAGAATGCTTCCAACCACACGGGGGTTTCTATAGGCCTTTGTTTGTCATGCCTCTCACGAGGCCAGGTTTTGGCTCGTGGTCTTCGGTAGGCCTACGAACTCCATTCACTTTGACTGATGCCAGGGTCTAATACATTTATATCAGCCTGGATAGCTGTAGGAAGCCTCCGGGTCTCACCCAGAGACCGGTGTTTCATTACATTCAACGCTGTTTTTTTGCAATTCTCGATGAATATAAAATTCCAAGTCTGGACCTGGTGTAGAGTGCATGGGCATGGCTACTTCAATCTCCAGGTGCTGGAAATTTGAGCGTGTAGCCTCGAAATGTTTTAACAACGTGTCTTTTTGCCCTTTGTGTGGTTCCTCAGACCATTCTAAAACAGAATGTTGTTCTCCCTGTGCTCACTTCATCAACTTCCGTGATACTCGCCCAGTTTTTTAACATTCTTGTCTGTATTATAAATTGTACAGGGCATCCTCAACCTTAAACATCTTGATTGCATATCTTTCTCCGAAACCAGACACCACTTCGTGTTATTTTCTCTTTTTCTGCCGTGACTTATGCTCGAGCATTACGTCACGCTCCCCCTCTATCCCATTGTCCCCCACTCTTCAAGCCTTGAACCCTGACACATCCACAAGCTCCCCTTCTTTCAGTTCCCTTAAAATCTTAGTTCGTGGGTCTTTCTCTGGTGTCACTGGTCGTCGTTTCTGCCCTACCTTCCTAGTCTTCTCATTCCACCTTCTGTAATCAGGGATAAGAAATTTCTTTGGCTAAGCTGCATATTAATAATACCTGCTTAACTCATGATCACTAAATGGAACAACGTCCTGTTCCCTATTGTCTAAGCTGCATTATCGCCTCTTACCTCATTTAGAATGCTCTGATTTTTGGGATTATCATTTGTCTTGCTTTTCTAATCTCCCTAGGGGACATTTGTTCCTAGATAGTATCCTTGGTGAATCCAATATCTTTGACATTGCTTGTCTTATGTCCTTCTGTTTCCATATTGGCAGCTTGAGTGATATTTACCACATTTTGAATATGGTAACACAGATGGTGCTACATAGTCTTCCTGACTTGATGCCTTCTTTTGTTAATTATTCATAAGCTTTATCCACATACACAACTCCAGAATAAATTTATGAAGAAAAGTTAACAGTGAACAAAGTTCCTAACCAAAATATTTGCAAAGTAAACAAATAACAATGATTAGCTAAGTTAGAATAGTTGTAAACAAATTGATTCTAATGAAAGAAAATATTTGAAATATTTGACTGCAAATACAGTAATCTATTTTTATGCGTTAAGGATAAGAAAAGCACTGAACCTATTGAACATATGCCAGTTTATTATGGGACACCGTAGCCATACAAGGACAAGATACAGGGTATGGGTGGGACAATCAAGCCTTCCTGAAACCACATGACTGGCTGGCTCTTTATCACAGAGCTTTGAGCTCAATACCAGAACACATATCTTGAGGCCTCAATGACAGTGGACAAGGGGTTGTGATTCTGACTAGTGCTCATGAGCCTGGTGTAAAAGGAGTACTAAATTGTACAAGTCCCAGCAAGGCGATGGGTCCCTCACCCCTTCAGATAATTTGGCCTCTATGGTTAGAGTTTACACTGGGTGATGAGATACAGAAAGGCAGTAGTGTGGAAAGAGGAGCACTGTAACCCGATGTGTACAAGGTGGGATCTAGCCAATCCCACACTTCAACACCGCTCGGATACTCCACGATGACATGTCCGTTCTCTTAGAAGCGGGTACCACCCAACCTTCCCGCTAACAAGTAAGGCTTGCAAGTAACATGTTTTTGTGCACTTGAGTGACATGAATTTACACCATCAGGTGAGGTGAACAAATAAAATCTGAAATACATAAAATTGAATATATATAATATATATATATGTTTATTATACATTTATTTGCTAAACACTATATGAATACTAACAACATCTTCAAAGTTAAGTCTGTCAACAGAAATCTTCTGTTAAGTGGTTGGCACAAGTATTGATTAAGGTGTCATGATTTAGCTGAGGCTGGTCCAATGGTACATAACATTCTGAGATACATTTGCACTTGGCTGCGCATTCAATCAGGAAACTGCCTACCAGCAGTACATACAAACTTACTCTTTGATAATATGTAATGAAAATAAATGTGGTTCAGCAATAAATATGACCGGGGGTTGTCCAGTCTGTCTTCCTATGGAACACTACAACCTTAAGAAATTTAAGACACCGTGTATGCACATCATAAAAATCTAGCTAATCTTTGGTTCGTCGAACAAGCCCACATGCGAACACTGGGCAGACATCACATCATGACTCACGTCATTGCCTGAAAAGTTACAGTGCTCTACCCAACCTCGGGACTGTCTCAGACACTGCTGTCAAGTGTCAGGTTCACTCAACATTATCACCACAGACCACCACTGCTTACATATTACAGTTTTCATCACCGCAGATGTATACACATCTACCACACTGGAACAATTAACACTAAGTATCACTGGTCACTCGGCTAAGTGGCACATGCCTAGCAACCCTTCAGAAGCAGGGTAACTTTGGCAGTACTCTGAAATGCAAGCACAGTTGACCGCTTTTGCAGCTTCTTTGAGGAGGCAGCAGAGGCCTGGAAATGGTAATAAAGTTTCTCTGGATCCACATCTTCCAGAACTCTAATGCACTCACAAGTTCATTTTTATTATTTGTTATTTCACTTCAGTGTCCTCCTCCATTGGCTCCTCTTCGTCGTTTGTGTTCTCAACAGCTGAGCTCTGTGGGGGTGGCTCCGGGCTCCTGCAATATAGTAATAAAATGGTCTTAACATTCATTTTTGACATTCTACTGCTTTAAACATAATAAGACTACAGTATATATAAGTTGACTATATATATATACTGTAATATAAAACATGAGAGATAATGGAGAGATAAATATGGAATATCAAGAGAAATATTGTGTATGAAACTGGATGGATTCAAAAGGACAGTATTATTGATGTAATGACTTGGTAATTCAAGTACATCTAAGCTATATCTTTTAAAGATTAGGTCTTCTGACATCATTACTCCTAGATACATTACATTACTTTTGTTCTGTAGTGTGATTTGATTCAGTTTTATATATGGTTTCTGTTTTTATATTTGTTTTCTGTGGGGAATCCTGTCGACTCCTAGGCTATCCAAACTGACATGTGCCACATTAATTTGAGGTCATCATTCATGGGAGTTCTTTATGCCCATCGGAGACAGAGTCAAAACCTGATCCACCCAGAGAGGTGCAGCGAGCAATGGCATACTGCGGCCCTCCCAGCAAAACTCCCTCCCTACCCGGGGCAAGATAGGAAGCACAAGACCCCCCAACATACCCCAAGGGTGAGAATAACACCAAGCGACAAAGCCCTCAAACAGAAGTGAGACACGAACATCCCAGGGAAGAATACTCTGAAACGCAAGGGAAGTACTTACCGGGCATCAAGGGAAGGTAACCCTAGGTGCATGCAGCCCAGCGTACTGAGAACACCTGGCCAACACACCACCACACACACAGTTGGCACAGTCACAAAGGCAAAATCCAGACACAAAAGCGAGGCCAGAGGTAACGACTGACCACCAGCCACATCAGTCAAGAACTGGGGTGGTGAGCCACCTGCTCACCTGAGCGGGCACCCCCTTTCCCCCCTTTCAGGGGAGGGGGGAGGCACTAACAAGCGGGTACGCTAGCTGGATGACGATTTGCTTGTTTGTTTTCTTTTGGGGGGGAGTTCTTTGGCTCTGTTCAGATGTAGGTTGCAATTTTTACCAGTTGGTGGTTTGTATTGTTTCACTTATCTTTCTGGGTTCCCTTCCCGGTCAATGGCAGACATGACACACTCTACATTTAGAGTGCTCATAATGGCCATTGGTCCCTGTGCCTCTCTGAGTGGACCAGGTTCTGGCTCTGATCTCCGGTAGGCATACAGAACTCCCGCAACTAATGACACCAAACTAACATGGCACATGTCAGTTCGGATAGCCTCAGGGAGCCTCCATGGATCACCCAGAAAATGGTGTTTCATTACATTCAACGCTGGGTTTTTTCCCATAGCACAGTACCTGTAACTTATTTTCCTTAATCATATTATTATCTGTGGCCCATTGAAAGACCCAATTTATGTCAGATTGAAGGTTTGCCATGTCTCCTATATTTTCTACTTGCATGAAAATGCTAGTGTTATCCTGCAAATATTGATACAGTACAATAGTTTTTAATCCTTGTCTGATATGAAGATGAGAAAAAGTACGGAAGCAAGTACGGTACTTTGGGGAACTGAGCTTTTCATTGTGGATGATCTGGATTTTACTGTTTTGACTATTACACTCTGGGTTCTGTTCCATTAGGAAATTAAAGATCAATCTCCGTATTTTGCCAGTAATTCCTTTTGAACATATTTTGTGTGCAATAACACCATGGTCACATTTGTCGGATGCTTCTGCAAAGTCTGTGTATATTACAACTGTGTTTTGTTTGTCTTCCATGGCATCTAAGGCCATGTCATAGTGGTCTAGTAATTGTGATAGGCAAGAGCGCCCTGTTCTGAACCCGTGTTGCCCGGGGATATGTAGATGTTGTGATTCCATGTGATTTGTAATGTTACTCCTTAGCACTTTTTCAAAGATTATGATGTGTGAAGTTAGAGCTATTGGTCTACAATTTTTTGTATCTGCTTTACTACTCCCTTTGTGAAGCGGCATACCAGGAGCATACCTGGAAAGGGTCTCAGGAGTTTTTCTTCTATTTGAGCCCGACCTAAGGCCAGGCTTGATTTGTGATAACTTGGTCCACCAGGCTGTTGCTCGGAGCGGCCCACATATCCACTACAGCCTGGTTGGTCCAGCACTTTTTGCAAGAACTTGTCTAAGTGCCTCTTGAATACATCGTGATCTTCACTGTTTTAAGTACAGTATGTCAGGGATGACACCAGTGTCTAGGCTGTCTCCAAAAGATGTTTAGGGTCTGTGATAGTAGTATTTTGCATTTCTTCATGAATATAGAATTCCACGAATATGATCTTGGTGCAGAGTACATGGGCATGCTGTCTATGGCTACTTCAAATTCCAATGAGGTAAGGGTGACATCCGATATATGGTTGGGTGTCACATTCATGAAGAATTCATCAGATCATTGATTGTCAGTGTACAGAAGTTCACTGGAAACAGAATCATACTGACATCTCACTCATTTCTTTGTTGTCATCTGCGAAAGTTCCACCACCCTTGCGCAAGGGCCCAATGCTGGATGCAGTTTTTGTTGGAGCTTTCGCATAGGAGAAAAAGTATAGCGGATTCCGCTTTATTTCACTTATGGCCTTTTGCTCTCCTTGCCTCTCTTAGATTTTATGTGATTCTTTCAGCTTGAGCTTGACCATTTCTATTTCCCTACATAGCCTTCCTCATCATTGCTGGGATAGAGTGGAGCGTTTGAGATGTTATGCTATCTATTTCTTCGCCTATAGAGGGAACAATGATCGTGTTCTAGTTTGCATCTTTTGTTTTTTCTTAGTGGTATATGCCGTCTACATATTTCTGGTGCTACTGTGCTTATTTCCTCGAAGCACTGGTTTAGGTTTCCATTATCTAGTTGTTCTTCCCAGCATACTTCTGTGAGGTCTTGCTTTATTTATTCCCAGTTAATCACTTTGTTATTAAAATTGAACTTGCTGAATTCTCTTCCTCTTGGATTTGAGACTGGCTGCACAGGTCTATTGCCCATACTCGTCTGAACTTCGATTAGGTTGTGATCTGAATAATAAGTATTTGTAATCATTATGTCCCTAATCAGCTCATCGTTGTTTGTAAAAATAAGGTCTACAGTATTTTCTTTTTTAGTTAGCTCTACTATTTGCTGGTTTAACCACTGTGATGCACCGAGTTTATTGTGAAATTCCCCTTGTGCGCATGAAATAAAGTGTTCCACCCAAATTCTTTTTTCTTTGTAAAATGTTAAATTCCCTTCCCTGAACCCGGGGATATGATGTGAAAATAAATACCGACTTCCACTTTGGGTATGGGGACATGGACAAGGTGCGCTATGACGTCATCAGGGGCTGGTCGCCCGTGCATGAAGCTCCCAGACACGGTCGCACGGGCCATTCAAGCCCCAAGTGTTGCCACAAATATATTTTCAGTAATTTGTTCTATGTATTTCCAATGTGGCTTTATTTGTTTTTTTTATCGTATATGATACATATTTGTGTCCTTTACAATATGTATACAGTGGAACGTTCATAATGTTCCATGGAACTGTGATACATGTGTCAGTAGTGTGTCCACAATAAATGTTTATTGTCACAATATTACTTGTTAAAAATTCACTAAAATTACAATATGTACAGTTTCACACACTATTTACACAGTAACACACTGTATTACACAGTACTTCGGAAGTGAGTAATAATCAACGGAGTAGTCCATGGTACACAGCGCGACTTCGCTCTCGTTGCACCAGCTACAGATAGATTTTCACTTCCTGTTTCTTCATTCTGTGTGCTTGCAAATAATGCACTCACGTACACCCTTGGCTTTAGTACCTGTGGTATGTGGTATGTAGCCAAGCTTGTAAAGCGTAAGGTAGTCTTAAAAAGATTATAGGAAAAGATCAATTTGTAAGGTAGTCTTGAAAAGATCGCTTAGTAAGCTCCCACACAGGAAGAGATTCAGCCACCCTCGAAGAATGTCCGTCAGCCTGCAAGAGATTCTGGCATTCTGGAAGAGATTCAGCCAGCCTCAAAGAGTGTCAGTCAGTCAAGAAGAGATTCAGCAATTCTTGAAAATATCTATGGAAAACACCACCATGGAAGTCACTAACACTGTTCATCTATGCTACTAGTATCAGATACATCATCACCACTGAATGCAGAAAACAATTCATCTATGTATCATCTATATAAATTGGAGATGGCATAGGAGGGCAAGGGCTACAGAGCTACAACTGGATATGCTCGCTGTATCGTCCTCATAGGTGCTGTATCACTTACATCTGACCTTTGTGTTAGGTCCTTATTGCACCTAGCTTCACCAATATTATGACCCTTATGTTCTTCAAACAATAAGGTTTGAATTTCACCGACAGAGCACGATCTTTTAACACCGCGTCACACAGGTGTTTGGGAGCCAGAGGCGCATGTACCACCCATGATTGCTCACGCAGTACTAACCCAGCCAGCAGCCCTAGGGCATTCTGGGAATTTTTTCCAAGATGGCTGCCTCCCACTGGAGGTTTTAAGAGTCCATTTTATACACAACCAATAGCGCACACATTTAGAATGGGTACGAAAAAATTGAAAAAGAGTTTTCTCGGTTGGAGCAGTTTCCCACCGACCGAGTTTTCTCGGTTGGCGCAGTTCCAGTGGTTAAAGCAAATCTGTCACACATCTGCAAGAGGTCATTTGTGTAATTACCTAGGTGTAATTACCTAAGCGTAGTTAGAGGATGAGAGCTAAGCTCGTGGTGTCCCATCTTCCCAGAACTCTTTGTCATATAACACTTTGAAACTACTGAAGGTTTTGGCCTCCACCACCTTCTCACTTAGATTGTTCCAACCGTCTACCACTCTGCAAAAGAAAACTTTCAAATTTTTTTTGGTACCTCTGTTTCCTTAACTAGACTCCGTGTCCTCTTGTTCATGATGTTGCTGATTTCAAGAATTCCTCCTTGTCAATTTGGTCAATTCCTGTTAGAATTTTGTATGTGGTGATCATATCATTTCTTTTTCTTCTATCTTCTAGTTTTGGCATGTTTAATGTCTGTAGTCTTTCC